TTAAAAAGTTTGAGGACCCCTGCTGTAATAGAACAGAAGCAGAGCTCTCTAACTATTATTTTCTTTCACCTTTCGCATCTGCAAGAAGCAACCGCACCTGAAATATCTTGAGCAGTAATTTGCAGCATTTTCAAGAAGTATGCCCTAATAATGCTCTAGAAATGTGGGGATGCTGAGAGTGCTCTGAGCTCACTTTAGTGCCTGCTCTCTCTACCTTTGAGACACATTATCCATAAGACAGGGACTAAGCAGACAGGCCAAAATTTGCAGCCTTCAAATTCTGTTTCTACTGGTCCATGTGTTTTTTTGTTTGTTTTGTTTTTATGTTGCCAATATAAGTCTGGTAGTGGCCAGTAATCGGCAAAGCTCACTGTGGTCAGAGCTGAACTTGCACCAGAAGTGTGGGACCAGGTTTCCTGAATGACACTTTTATGTTGTTCTAATACAGCTGCAGTCAACTCTTTTCACTTGATATGAGAAAAAATAAGTTAATGCTGCCAGAGAGTTTTTCATATGGCCTATCAGCTCCAGAACATGAATCTGCCTCTCTCAACAACTGGAAACACCGAATAACTCTCTCTTTAAAAATGTAGAAAATACACAATAGATGAATAAATAAATAAATAAAGATCATTTTCTGTTGCCACATAGATACAGGACAACAAATCAGAACAAATGAGATTCATATGGGTGGCCAGCACTGTATTCCAGATTAGGGTAATTATAGCTTTTTTGTTTTACATATTGGAAGAGGTACTCACAGCCTAGCCAAGAAGCTACTTTAAAGAGGTGTCTTGACCTCAGCCAAAAAGCTCCCAATTGTTTTTTTTTTTTAAAGAATTACAAGCAAGACAAATATAAAACATGGTCTGACCAATAAAATACAAGATAATGAAATAATATTAACTTGTTCATGGGAAATTAGCACCTAGATTGACAACTGAACATTTGGATACCATTTGTAAGACCAAAATATTTTACAGACTATTTTGCATTTTTTAAGATGAGTATGTGTTTGAGATATAATGGACACAGGACATTGAAAAAGTGTCATACACCAGGAGATTGAGATGTCATTTTGCCCAGAGGGCAGAAAACTGCTGAACAGTTTTAAATGAAAGGCAACTTTAAGACTAAAATCCTAATCCCCTACAAATGCACAAATAGCTATGCGTCATTGCATACTTCAGTGAGGTAGACCAAAAGTCTACTCAAATTATCTTTGCAAGAACAGAGCCTACAATACTACAAATAGGACTGTGCCTCTTTCTATTTCATGTGGATAATTGTCCTCATCTTAAAAGTTCCTTCCTTAAATAACTCTGCTAAAGATCAAGCCATATATTTACAAGATGATACTCCATATATTCTAAGATTTGCTAACTGGCATTCTTTTTGGTAATCTCACATAAATTCCAGTTAATATAAGAAAAACTTGCACAGGAATAAAGCAACTTTTTTGGACTACTGTTGGTTTTGACGAATTAAAACAGCTAGTATTTTGAGAAGGTAGAGGAATGGGGACCAAAAGCCAGTGCCAAGACTATCCAAAGTAGCTGATTAGGCTTACACCCTTATTAGGCATATAAATTACTGTTTTCTTCAATATGACTGTGGGCCTGCCATAGTTACTTTAATGGAATGTTCAGTGTAAGTTTCCCAGTAAGAAGTTTAATTCTACATATTTGCCTTTTTAAAATGTTGATCAATGTTGATTAGAAGCAAACAAGCCTCTCATCCCTCTGAAGTGGCTTGAACTGATATTATCTGTCCTACTGCACAGAAAACTAAATAGTCCTTACTTATATAGTTAGCAAAACTTTTATCCATTCATCCTTTCCATGAGGGAAAGGAAATTCCAACAACGACATTTGAGAATTTAAGCTTTCTCACATTACTAGAGCAATGACAGGGACAAGTTTTTTCACATGAATCAGCAAGAAAAACATGCATAAAAGTCTTGTATTTTGGGAAGCAATGCGAGACAGCACAAGGTTTATACGCCAATGCTGCATGTGACTATGCAACTCATAAAAAAAAAATAAGGTGAACGTGTATTCAGGAACTCAGTGTAGTAAGAAACAAAGTGCAATACACTTGGAAGTACATTCATTGTTTTTCAATAAGGAACTCTCGCATGCTTTTTTTGTCCAACTCCATTATATTTAACAGTAGTTGGCATCTAGCTTCTGGAAAAAACACAGCAGGGTTATGAGCTGAAAATGTCAAAAAAAAAAAAAAACAAAAAAAACAACAAAAAAGCTAATCTCCTTTCATTTAAATCATTGGTTGAAATATCTTTTAGATGTAAAGAAATAAAAAGAGTATTTGAGTCCCTTTTCAGAAAATGCTAATAAAATTCATGCCAACACTTGGCAAAAGTTTTTCTTTCAGCATACCGATTAAATTGTAGTTTTCTCATGTTCATGGAAAACGTGTAACAAAATAATCCAAAATTTATTCCATAATCTCCAGTGTTAGAGTCTGAGGTCTACAGATTCCAAACTCTACTTCCCCCATGCCAGCCAAACATTTTGGTTCAGAATGAAAATTCACATTAAAAAAATCATGAGGATTTAGTATAGACAACATTCATCAGTTATTTTTATCTGGGCTGTACTGGGTAAAACAGTAGCACTGGGCCAAGAAGTCCATCAGCAACATCTCCTGTGGATTTTGTTGTTCTGTTTGCTCTTTTCTTACCCTACCAAGATTAGGACTTAAAAAAAAATAAAAAAAAAAAAAAAACAAAAAAACCACAACTTATAGCATTATTAGCAGGATTTTCAGATTCATAATCTGATGTCAGGGGAATTCTTAGCAGACTTGACAAATTTTCTAGTGAGTTGGAAGTGTTAAATAGCAGTCTAGATGGATAAATACTGTCTTGAAGAAAACATGGAGTTGAGTCGCAAACATAAAAGCACAGCTCAATTACAGATACACCTGATATGCAAAACGGAAAACTGTCTAGAATCTGTCTATATGCAAGAGCTATCTCTAACCTCAGAAATTCAGATTAGAACCTGAGTGGTGATGGAGTTATGCTGATTTTTGTGATCCTGAATTACATAAACACTTTTAACACTACCATGCCTATTGTTCACGTGCAAATACATGAGAAATGTAATTTTTGACCTACACAGTGTTAAAATTCAGTGAAATTCTAACACATCACCACAGAAATATATATGACACCTATGCTTCATTAGGATATTACCTCAATTACTAGTGAAATAATAAATCACTATCACCTGAATGGGGGGTTAGAAAGTATGAAAAAAACCAACCACCCCAGGAGAAAGAAGCAAACAAGTTACTCCTGCATCCATAAAACATATGGAAAAAGTTACAAGGGAAGGCTATTGAAACAATGAATATAAATGAATTCAAGAGACACTTAAGATTGTTTCCAATGGAAGAGACAGAGAGAAGTTGCTAAAAAAAATTTGGAAAGTGGGATAAAGATAAGATCAGTCAAAAGATAAATCTGTTAGGCAGATGGTCTTATCCTGCTGCTAGGATACCTTCTTTTGCTTAAATTAAAAAACAAAGTAAAAATTTAACACATTTGTCCAGCAGCTTGAATTAGAAATCAAGTCTCAGCACCATCCCATCCTGAGATTCATCACTCGTTGACTTATCAACTTTATCTTTGCAATATTGCATCTTGTTTCAGACTCCTGGTATGAGTGACATGCTGACCCTTCAAGCATTGCATTTATTGGCAAATTTCCCTCTGCTAACTCTAAGTCCCTTAGTGAAGTGTAGGCTCCTTATCCAACGAATGCAAAAAGACTGGCATTTCCCCAAGCTTCACTCAAAATTAAACAGGCCTCAGAGGGTGCCAGTCACTGTCTGTAACATGGAAGAGATCATGTAAGAGACAGAATGAATTCCACAATAAGTGGAGTTCAAGGACATGGCACATAGGGCACTCCCCAAAATACATGGGCAGAGGTAAGAAAATGGTTGGAAGAATGCCCTTTGCTTACAGTCTGGAAGACACTGTGCCTCCAAGCACAAATGGGTACCATAATTCTCTCAGAGAGCTATGAAAGAAAAAAGTTTGATCTTCCTTTTCTTTTTTTCCTGTGTCATCTGCCACACATGGTAAGTTTCCCAAGAAGTGGATAATTTAGAGCCACTAGTCCTCATTTTAGAGGACTTTATGTCTTAGTATGTTTACATGAAGCAGTAATAAGCATGACCATTTTTTAATAATGTTTTTAATGGGTATTAAAGGACAATAAATCACCTGTCTCTAATACAGAAGAGACTATTTTGAACTGAAAAGAGCTCAACAATTTCCTGTATGTAGTAATCTGATTTATTTTAGCTAAAGGCAAGTACAGAGATTTTTCCCTTTCTTCTGCTGGTTTTCCATCCTGTCTTAAGGAAATAGGTGATATCAAGAACATCTTAAAATTTTAGGGACAGATTACCGATTACAGGCCTCCTGAACCACCTAAGGATGACTGCTTTTCAGTCCAAGCTGTACAGTTGCCACATACACTAGAAGAGTCCACTTAAGACTCCTCAATGTGTCCCACAAATGCAAGGGCATGTATGCCATATACAAATCTGAAAAATGCACTCTTCTCCACTTACAGAAGAAAGAAAGGAGAATTCTGACATGTATCACTGTATAAGTAAAGATAAGCACAAACCAGCTCCAGCAAAGACTCTTAAATTATGTTCCCAGACTAAACCTTAAGTGTTGGTTTCTGTTGGGAAACTTTGGGAGCTCCCACATATATAAGAACAAAGAATAAGAATTTAGAAATATATTGCAGAAAAGGAGCTATCCCAAACCAAGATAGCTTCCTGGCTGTTTACTTGCTTACATATTTAACGACTGCATTTTTGGTGAAGCTTCATTCATTTCTGTGGGAATTTGAGAAACCACCACAAAAATAAATGAATAAGTGATTTCATTTTAAAGGCATCTTACCAGCGGGCTACCATCAGTCCAGCGGAAGTCACGCTCAAACATCCTGTCATTGAGGCCGATCCACTGGTAGTCATGCCCAATACCTAAAGCAAAAGGAACCAGAAGGATATTTTTATTAACTTTCCCATAAATGGAAGAGTTTTCATCATTATCTTAATAAAAGAACTTGCATGAAATGAATCAGACATCCTGTTCTTAAGATTCTCTTACTCACTGCTCAAACAATTATTTACAGGCTGCTTTTCAGCTTTTAAATTTTAATTCAGAAAGTCTACAAAATGCAGATTCAGATCTGAGTTTTAAACAATCCTGTCTCTTCTCTCCTTACTTTGCCTCCCAAAAGAAACAGTTTAGCTTTTTAATTACTAAAAAGACCTAAGGTTTTCAGGAAAAAAAAAAAAAAAAAAACTGTTATATATTCTTCAATGCTAAAAAGTAGTTCTATTACACTTTCAGGAAAGATATTTTCTACATAACAAATAACTGTGATAAGGAACTAAACAGCAAAAGTAAACATCAAGAACACAATGTGCGCTGTGAAAGGTTTTCTAAGCGTATTCTAAAAAGAAAACACAAAGCTAAGTGATTAGAAGGATATTTCTCTATTTCTGAATCCTCAGGGCCCTTTCTTGTTGAGTGGAATTTTACTAATGCATACGGTTCACAAAGATCTGCTCTTCATGGGACAAGATGCTTGTCAGGTGCGCTCCCTGAAGACGGCATTCTCGATCAGCTGTAACCCATGTACGACGATGGGCAAAGTATTTGTAGCACTGTCCTTGGAACTTGTGCCAGCCATAATCACAGGTCTCCGTGTCTGTGACAAATAAACAAATCATATTTCTAACAGGCATGAAACACAGGCACATTTCACAGAAATGGATGGATTTTCTCCAATGCAGAGGCTCAAAAAGGTATCCTCTCCCTTAAGCAATGCAAAGGCAAAAATAATCATTCACCCTTGAAGACTTAATAATATTTCAAGTAGTCCTGTTTACCAGGTTTCAGTACAAGTTGTATGAATATTATTCACATAAGGAATATAATTTTTATCAGCCACTTTGTGAGCTTCTATTGATCCTATTGTGCCGTACTTGGGCAATCCCAGGAGGACATCCTTAGTCCATAATTCTGGATGAATGAAAAGCCTGGATGATAGACTGCATTTCATCAGTTTTATTTATGAGTTTGTACATGGGGACAAGAGTTATTGTTTGTACAGCAAATAGTTCTTTGAATAGTGACTGAATTACTTGGGTTTGAAAATAACCAATAATTAAAAGTAACCATAAAGGAAAATGTGTCACTATTCAATCCACAGATATGGAACTGGCGTATTATCTTCCTGAAGAATGAATTTACCTCTCCAAGTCCTTCTCCAAAACCCACCTTCCACTACAAAGTATAAAATTTTAGGTATCAGTTTCTAAAGACAACTGCAAAATATAAAGAAATGAAATGGAGATTGTATTATTGGGAGATGGGACTGATAAAGACATGTAATAGGTAGGAGTTCACATCAGCCAGTATTCCTTTTATCTGAAGAGAAGTAAACATGGGCTTTGGAGCTGTAAGAATCTGTGGATTGGACAAGAACAGGAGAAACTATATAGAAAACTCAAACTGGAGTTATGATAGTTGAAATGACACCATAAAGGACACTTCAGCTCAAAATTACAGCATGTCCCAACTGCATCCTGTTCCAGTTATCTGGACACACTTTTGGCTCACGCAGAAGGGCCTCTGTTGCGGGATGCTCAAGCACAGAAACACAAAGCAGAGTTTTTATTTTCATCATGCAACAGTCTTTCAAACTTCCACCACATCTGAAAGCAACCATCTTGCCTTTCAGGAGGTATTTATATATTCTGGGTATGAAATGGAATTTCCTAAAGTCAGTAACATGCTTTGGCCAAAGAGAGTTTTTTTTTGGTCACTGTACAGAAAAAGCTAAACATTATAAAATGTTGTTCCAGATGGATTTGGCAATAAACCACATAGAACGAAATGGCTACGTTGAGCATTTATTCAAGTGAGAACACACAGAAGGAACAAAACATGGGTAACTACTCACGAGGCAATACCCGCTGGTGGGATACTGAAACTGAACATCCTCTCGAACAGAGCAGATGAGAGAGACAGAGACACTGACCTGCTGCTATGGAGACAGCACAGGCCTCAGTGTTTGGAGTTTCTCCTTATCTCACCCCCCCTTTCCACACTATCTCTTGTTATGCTCGGTGCATCTTGGCACATAGGGTCAGTCTGACCCAGGAGGCAGCCGGGTGCGGGGCGGGGGCGAAGGGGCGGACAAACTCCGCCTTTAGTTGCGCAACTCACTCTCTGGGGTGTGCAGGCACGCATACCAATGTGGGGGGAAGGGGTCGCAGCCCTCAGTCTGAGGGTCCTGCCTTCCTCATCGTCTTCCTCCTTCCCAGGTGTTTGACCTCCAAAGCTAGTTTAGAGGACATCTGTGGTTGAGTTGGCTACAAGCCCGGTCAAGCAGCTGCCTTCAACTGCTTTTGGAGGAGGTCGGCTGTGAATCTGGCTAAGCAGCCACCTCCGTGCTCCTTATCTCTCAGGCCAGGCAGACAAACACCTTCTGTCTCAAGGTCTGGATTCTGCTTCCCCCATAAAAATATCCACCTCCTATACAAATGTCCCCAATCATTCTTTGGTTATGATATTTTTCAAGCTTTAGCTAGAGTTCACGTGTCATATAAAGTACTAAAATTGATCAGACCCTTCGTACACTTAGGCTGCCAATGTATACTCAGTGGTGAGCAGTTATTGCTCCATCACAGGGAGACAATTAGGGAATAATTTGCCAATAAGGCAAGGCTGATTCTTAATCAAAGCAGGAAGAGATCATTCGCATTCTGAAGCATGAAAGCTTCTATTCTTTAGAAATTTTGTTCCCCTTTTCCAAAATTTCCTGACATAAAAACTAAGCTTCAGATACATTTACGCTTTTAAATTCATATAAATACATTTTTACCAGTTCAGTGGCATTTCTTTGACAATTTCTGGCAACACTGATAACATAGTAGCTATTGTCCTAAGAGTCTGGTATCAAAATATTTAAAAATATATATATACACATATATTAGCATAGACATAAATGTCAAAAGCAAATAGAGAGGCAAAATAGAACTTAAACTGATGTCTCATGCTTTTATTTTCCACAAGTCAAGCTGTAGAAAACTGCTTATGCTTTGAGAAATCCCAAGTATGAAAAAGGAATGTAATCTTTGCTATCAAGTTGTTAGTTTTTGATGTTTTCCCTTGCTGTATGCTGCATTAGGTACATGGTACAAATACAGATTTAATCTCTGGGATCTAGGCCATTTTTAGTCTGCCTAGGCCAAGTTTAGTCTGCCTTTGGCTTTCAAGAACATTTATTTAACCACACAATGCTGACTAATAGTCAGCAAAATGTCCTTTGTGAAGGCACATAAGAATTTATTTTTCATTGTTTTAGGATCACCTCGTCCCACAGGAAACAAGTCAGATTACAAGCAGCTGTGCAAGCTGAGAAAAGTCATGGTCAGAAAGCAGCTTCAGGCTACTCTGATTAAGCCTCTATCGCTAGAAAAAGTGCAAGATTTGATGAAAAATCTGCTGAGTGGTAATATGAGGGAGGCAGAGCGTGTGAAAATGCAAGAGCTAGAAGGCTGAGTTCAGAGA